GACGCCGTCTGAAATGCATTTGCTGCAGCTAGAGATTAACTCTATTAACCATCCTAATTTACATCGCGTAGGTGTTACTTCATTGTTTTCTCATAAATAACGTAACATATTCCATCTAGCTCTATCGGCCGCAGCGAACACATCGGCAGTCTAGAATATCCGCCGGTAGGAACTGTTCCACGCGCTGACTCTACCGTACCGAAAAGGTTAACCCTTTGCACTCGAAGATCTTTTTGCTATAGGAAAACTAATGTAGAAATAAATTATACTATTTCACTTCAACACTCGATGTATTTTCTATTTTACGGAGGCCCGTAGATCTGCTCTCTGTCTTGATTAATTATTCACCATGTGACAATTATTTAACGTCACTTCTCAGTCGCCACTCGATTGCAAAGGGTTAATATCGTACTAAAACAGTAAATAGCTAACGCTTAGACGCACAGTCAGGAAAAGAAATCATACGTTAAGGGGTTAAAGCGCCGGAATATGCACTTTTACGAAATAAAATCAAATGACTCTTGTAAAACAGGAAATTTCTATTGCAAAATGTTACATAGTGCTTGTTACAGGCACAGCGACGATTTTTAATGATATAAATATCGAGTCACTTGCTGTTCGAGAGATACAATATTTTTTTTTTCTACAAAAACATGTAAAGTGGGTCCGGCGGTTAAAGTGTTAAGACGTGAAACCGGGGTTTGGAGACCCGTAATCAGAAGAAGTATCGCCGTGTGATTATTATCCCGTTATTGTCCTTTTTTGTTTTTCTCTGTTGAAAGGTGGCTCTGGTGAATGTCGTGCACATTAAAGACAGCGTGTGCACGTTACCGACCTCGATCCTGGCGCAATATCTGAAGCAAGCCAACGGACAGTTGTCCTGTCTTAAGGTGAGCGTCCGCTCTTCTCGCGTCTTCCTTACTCTATAGCGATCGCACCTTTCGCTTTGGTTCGTTTAAGCGAGAGAGGGTTCAGCTGTGGAGATTTGGAGAGAAAGAGAGAGGGGAAAGGGGTTTGTAGGAATGGTAGATTGATTCTGGGGTAATTTTTTTGGTTACAAGTGGTTTGAGCTAGTTAAGGTTATGTTGATAGTCTAGGGAAATTTTGTTGGAACATTCAGAATGATATTTAGCCAATCAAATTGAAGATTGAAATTCTGTTAATGAAATTTAAAGTATTGAAATTTTAGAATTTAAATTCAACTAATCGAATTGGTATTGTTGAAATTTGAAAATCAGCCAATGAAATTGAAAATGTTCGAGTTTGAAATTCGCAACTATTCCAATTTGAAATTTAGCCAATGGAATTGAAACTATTCGAATTTGAAATTCAGCCAATGAAATTCGAGATATTCATATTTGAAAATTAACCAATGAAATTCGAAATATTGAAAATTTGAACTCAGTCGATGCCATTAAAGTAACCACCATTTGAATTCTCGACCAATGAAATTCAAACTATTCTAATTTGAAATTTAGCTAATGAAATTCAAATTATCCAAGATTTAAAAAATTTCAAATTCAGCCAATCAAAAGTTCCAACTATCTAAACTTTAAAATTCATCCAATGAAATTCAAACTATCCAAGCTTCAAATTCAGCCAATCAAATTCAAGTTATCCAAGCTTCAAATTCAGCCAGTCAAATTGAACCTATTCTTTAACTGTATCGAATCAAAATTCAAACATTCAATTCATAACGAAAGCGTAAAAGAACTGTTTCGCGTCGCTTAACAATCTTCTACACTCCCGTTATCTATTTCTGTTTCAGCAACTGTACCTAGCTACCGGCAACTCGACAAACTACGACGAGGGCGACGTGTCCTCTGGTCTAGGCTCAGCTCTAGCCCTAGCGGAGCCTTGCAACAACAACGGTAGCTCGACTAGAGGCGCTCTGGTTGCCTCCGGTACAGGCGATCCCGAAGGATCGTTATGGAACACAGCCGGAGAACAATTATGCGTCGTTTGCCAATACTTCCCGCTCTCGCGTGCTCTACTACCATGTAGACACACATGTATCTGTGCGTCTTGTTTCGGCAAGCTCGACCGATGTCCGATGTGCAGAAGCCCGATCAAAAGTTACTTCTGTATCAGGGGCGAGGAATACATGCCCCTGGAGACAGATATAAATCCTTGCAAGCAAAGGCAGTCGAGCCACGGACCGACCCATTGGCTACACGATTGGAACGACAGGCTTACGGATTTCCTTGGATTCGCGCGATAGAATACTCAATTCCTGCTATTCTAAACAATTTCTTTCATTTAGAGAGTGTGTACAGAGAGAGCGGTACGATGGGATAATGACGAGAAAAAAGAAAAGAAATTGGTCGGATAGAAGTAGTATTTTCAAATGGATCCAATTGCTTTTATTTTTTGGACTCCATGGAGGAAAGAGTAATACACATATGTATAATACTTCAACGTCATTTTGAGGAAAAGATGTAAAGAGAGAGAGAGAGAAAGAGAGAGAGAGAGAGAGAGAGAAGGCAGGGCATTAATTTATAACGAGGAAGCCAGATGGAATGTAGATTTTTATATGAATACGTGTAAAAGAAGGAAGAAAAGTTTCCAGGGTATAATTTTCTATATGTTTTACGGAGACACCTAGCAGAAAGAGAGAGAGAGAGAGAGAGAGAGAGAGAGAGAGAGAGAGAGAGAGAGAGCGGATTATGGTTATGATTGATGGTGTTCAGGATGATTCCACGAGTTTGTTTGTTTCAAACCTTGGAAAATCATCGCGTTACGTTATTACAGCTTGTTTTTCTCCTTTCAACGATCGTGTTCTTTTTACGTTCGTCAACTCTGCCTTTATACTTCCAACCTCGAACGCCAAGACCAATTGTGTAATTTTCTATTGGACGTTTCGAACGATCTTCGATAAACGAGGAATAAATAAAAATCGTCCAGTTAAAGAGATACAAGTACAGAAAAAGAGAGAGAGAGAGAGAGAGAGAGAGAGAGAGAGAGAGAAGGAGGAATTTCTACGTAGACACATATGGAGTAAAACGTTTCAGATTTTTATCACGTAACGTTGTATAAATACTTAAGATGTAAATACAAGATACGAAATAAGAGACAATGTCCAACTTTAAGATGTAACTACTAATTAAGTTATTGATATTATTAATTTCATGCGATAACACGCAAGGTTTATTCGGTAGTTTTGTAGAAACAATTAGTTCCGATATTGCATGCCTTTAAAATATTCATTTTCTTCTCCCCCGCCCCACTTTTTTTTATTCTTTTATCTTGTACGAATCGAAAGTTTATTTTTGTTTCTTTTCACTCTTTCTTACGAACGCTCTTGGCCGTCCATTGCGCGCAGCGATCGAGCTATAACTCCTCCGAGGTTCTCTTGTCAGAACGAAACGCCACACGAAAGAACGTTGCTAAATTAATTTAAGAAGAATGTTGCGTTTAACGTTTAAACTGTAAATACACAGACTGTGATAATTCTAATAACATCTATTGTATTAAAAAAAAAAAAAGCAGATACACGAGAAAGTGTGTCCTGTAAACGGGGGACACCGGAAAAAGAGAAGGAATTGGAGGGGTATGAAAAAGAACGAGAAATCATCTTCAGATTTCACATGTATACATGTTTGTCAGTCTTTCTTTTTTTTTCTTTTTTGTTTTATGTATTTTTGTATATAATATAT